TATAACAGTATATATATATATATACTATAACTATATATATCAAACATAATATATATATATAAACAGTATATATATATAATATATATATATATCCACGACCTCCACGACGGAATTGTCTGGCCTGTCATTTTGATCAATGTGAGATTGGCTTGATGTTGTGCCGTCTCCTGCGCGCCAGTTTTTACAGCGTTCTCCTCAGTGTTCTTTATTTCAGCATGCTTTGCGTGTCTGAGGATTTCTGGGATGTAAAGTCTTTCCATCTCTGTGTCATGCCATTGTCATTGTCCAGTGTAACTTTACTTAGATCATGCGTGACAGAGTGGATGAAGCCGCTGCGCTCTGGTCAGGTGCGGCCTCTCTGTGACTTGCTCCAGCCAGGAGGGGAGGGGCGGGGGCAGATGCGGAGGCTCCTGCTGCGGGGAAGAAGCAGCCAGGGGAGGGGCTGATGCAGACGCCTCTGGGGCAGGCAAGAGGAGCACCGGAGGGAGGGCAGCTGACGCTGCTGCTGTTGCTGGTGCTGCAGGTGCCGCTGCTGCAGGTGCCGCTGCTGCTGCTTGATACCGGGGGGGTGAGAGAGCGGAGTACAGCGGGGTCCAATCATCTGTGGAGTTCCTACGGTCGTATTGACGTGGGATCGGTGGTATGCTCGAAAAAAAAGCAGATGGAGAAGTATCAGTCGCAGATCCTATACATTGTTTCTGTCTACTTTCCCTAAGCTTTGCCTCAGTCATCCACGCATTCAGCCACCGTCTGTTCTCATCCAGACAATTCAAATCTTTCACACGTACAGACCTGCCTTTTTTTAACACAGTTTCTCGAGCATCCAATTGCGATTTAATCTTTTCCAATTGGTTCAAGCTGAAGGAGCCATTTTTGGGAAAACCTAATTCAGCCACCCACATTTCAGTGCATGCCCTAAAATCATCACCATGTTTCTTACTCATAAAAGTCATGCATGGGGCGTCCCAAACTGGTGACTCTGTGCCTTTTCTTCTAAGCCACATGGCTGGAATCTGAGACTTCAAACTCAGATCTAGTATCAACTGAGGACTCGAACCCCAGACTAAGACTAAACTTAGATTTTTTGACAGGACTCGAACCTGTTTTCACAACGAGAGGACTCGAACCCCCCGACTAAGACTAAACTTAGATTTTTTAGACAGGACTCTAACCGTCTTCACAACAAAGGACTCTAACCTCCGACTAAGAGTAAACTTAGATTTAGACCGGACTCTAACCGTCTTCACAACGAAGGACTCTAACCTCCGACTAAGAGTAAACTTAGATTTAGACCGGACTCTAACCGTCTTCACAACGAAGGACTCTAACCTCCGACTAAGAATAAACTTAGATTTTCTGACAGGACTCCAACCTGTTTTCACAACGGAGGACTCTAACCTCCGACTAAGACTCGAACTTAGATTTTTTCCCAACAGCCTGGATTAGAATGAGCAGCACCGTCACCAGCTGGCAGCCAAACATGCAGTTTTATTGGTGCAGTTTTATTCACAGAAGTGATGAGTACAAAATGACATTTCTGCGCAGAAAAGAGTCAAACAGAAGCGGCACCTGGAGCGATGCCGTGTCTGTCTGTCCTCCCCAACAAACATGTCTTATGATCTTATACTGGAGGTGTGTCAGACAGAACAATGCACATTCGTCACAAGAGAGATGAGTCATACGCAGCTGCAGACGGGAAAGTTTGGGAGATACATTAAGCGCAGAAAAGGACCTTCGAATTTGATAACAAGGAACACGCTGTAAGAACATTTGAGATAATGGACCTGCAGATGGTGACCAAGGCTATCGCTGAACAAGAGGCCCTTTGTGCTAATGTTTCAAACAGTGATGGGGAGCGGATTCAGACGCTGGGAAAGAAGACGCATGTATCGACCTAAATGATTAGAATATCTTGTGCCGGGAATCTGGCCATGACACAGAGACAGTGGTATGATCCAGATGTGAATTATGTTAAGAGATAGATATTAGGGATGCAACGGTTTGAAAGAAATCCCGGTTTGGATCGTTCCTCGGTTCAAAGGCCACGGTTCAGTTCATTTTTCAACTAAAAAGTTTTGTCTTTGTAATAAACTCTGCTCATGTGGACTCAGCACCTGCAGGAGGATCAGTGATTAAATTTGTCGACTATTTAATTATCAGTATAGTTACAGTGGAGCCAAAATGCTCTCATACCGAGGATTTAAATGACGCAGGGCTTTCAAGTTCCTCCGCTCGCCATGATTACGCTGTGTGTGGACTGAAAAACATGCGCACAACTTTTTTTTCATAAATCAAACCGCGGATCACGTCTGTACCGAACCGAAGACGTTGATCTGAACAGATCACGGATCAGTGATGAACCGTTGCACCTCTAATAGATATTTACAAAGGCAGGGGATAGATTACACACACACACACCCCACATTCACAATATTTACAAAAAATAATTGAACAGGTTTTGAGTGAGAGAGTCCGGTTGAGTTGGGTTTGGCAGGTTGGTTTGAAAAGGTGGAGCGTGTACTTTGCAGTAATCCAGTTCAGGTTATTGTCTCAGTATGTTGTGTTGTATGAGGGAGACTGCTCACCTCCTACCACACTGTAGGGTTAAGAATCTCTAGGTTTTCGGCCTGGGGCAGCTCGCCATCAGAAGAAGTCCATATGGACGGACGGATCCAAGGAACCTGGCCTGCATGACAGGACCAATATAAATATCCAACAGTTTCATTTAGCAATATATCACTACTACAAAAATACATGTACAATAAATATATACTCAATAATCAGAGTGCTCATTCTCACTTCATAATTCACAATTAATCCTCTGCACCATAAATCACAATACAATTCATTCAGTTCAGTGCACATATCAAAAATAAATGTATTAATACTTTTGGTTCAAGAGCACACAAGCAAATTTCAGGCTCTGGTAACCATACATGAGCATATAAAAAGGCATAGTCGGCTACACAGGGAATCAACATGAGAACAACAATATTCGAGTTCAACATCGCATCAAAGGCTAGCGCTAGCATTCTAGCTCTGTGCAGCACAAAAATGCTTAAACTCACCAGTTCCCTCTTTGATTTCACGCACACAGTGATAACAGCGTGTCACAGTGATTGTAGGAGGCGTCTGCAGTGAATAGCACACCAGTTACTACTTTGAATGTGCAAAAAGAAGTTTAAATGGCGCATACACCTGCAGCTGCTGGCTCCTGGCTTCACCCACAGCTACACGTGTGTGTGTGTGTGTGAAGCACGCAGCTTATCCCCGCAGTGGTGTCCGCTGGGTCCTAGTGCCGGCCTCAAAAAGCGCTCAGACAAAGAGGGAGATGCTCTTATTTTTAAAACAGGACAGATACAGTGAGAATAATGCGGAGGTGCCGGCGTGCCAGTGTTTATTCCGCGGCGTGCCACATGTGGCACGCGTGCCCTAGGTTGCCGACCCCTGTTATAGATAAATGGATGTGTCAGTTATTATTATAGATAAATGGATGTGTCAGTTATTATTATAGATCCATGGATGTGTCAGTTATTATTATAGATCCATGGATGTGTCAGTTATTATTATAGATAAATGGATGTGTCAGTTATTATTATAGATCCATGGATGAGTCAGTTATTATTATAGATCCATGGATGTGTCAGTTATTATTATAGATCCATGGATGAGTCAGTTATTATTATAGATCCATGGATGTGTCAGTTATTATTATAGATCCATGGATGTGTCAGTTATTATTATAGATCCATGGATGTGTCAGTTATTATTATAGATAAATGGATGTGTCAGTTATTATTATAGATCCATGGCTGTGTCAGTTATTATTATAGATCCATGGATGTGTCAGTTATTATTATAGATCCATGGATGTGTCAGTTATTATTATAGATCCATGGCTGTGTCAGTTATTATTATAGATAAATGGATGTGTCAGTTATTATTATAGATCCATGGATGTGTCAGTTATTATTATAGATCCATGGATGTGTCAGTTATTATTATAGATAAATGGATGAGTCAGTTATTATTATAGATCCATGGATGTGTCAGTTATTATTATAGATCCATGGATGTGTCAGTTATTATTATAGATCCATGGATGTGTCAGTTATTATTATAGATAAATGGATGTGTCAGTTATTATTATAGATCCATGGCTGTGTCAGTTATTATTATAGATCCATGGATGAGTCAGTTATTATTATAGATAAATGGATGTGTCAGTTATTATTATAGATCCATGGATGTGTCAGTTATTATTATAGATCCATGGATGTGTCAGTTATTATTATAGATCCATGGATGTGTCAGTTATTATTATAGATCCATGGATGTGTCAGTTATTATTATAGATAAATGGATGTGTCAGTTATTATTATAGATTTGGGTGTTCATTGGTATAAGACTACAACATTTTAATTGTAGGGGGCGCTGTTCTACAAAGTTTATAGCCACCGTTTGCACATACTAAGTCCGATTTACACCAAATTTTAAACGGTTGTTCAACTCTCGGGTTTGGGTAAACTGAAAGTGTAAATCATGAAATTGCAGCAATAGCGCCCCCTAGAGACTGAGTCAAGTGTTACATGGGGAAAATGAGGTATATCTTTTGAATAGAGAAACACAATCACTAATCATAGAAAGTAAAATTACACAGTGTCGCTCCCATCAGGGGGGTAGGAAAATGGCGCGTCAGCGCCACCTCCTTTGCGCGGTGCGGCGAGGGCCGTTAGATGCCGCTTGCGGCTTTAATTACAACTGCTCCTCCCTTACTCAATCTCAAATTTTATATTAATCGTTTACATTTGACATATCAATATGTCGTTTTCTTTGTAGGCACAGCAGCATGTGAAAGGCTGACCAGTATTTTGTTGGCACCACGTTTTGTGAAAGATGTAGTGAAAATAAGCCCACAATACCACACGTCACACATCGAGGCATTCCATAGCCTGATCATCAGATTCTCTCCCAAAAGTGTGGGCTTCTCATTCAAAGGAATGCTGGCTAGGTAATGAATCCTAAAGGTTTAAGAAAAATTCACTTGGGTTATTTAATCTCTTAGAAATGTTTAGAAATAATATACAGATATATTGTTTTATATGTGAAATTTTAGGCTGCAGGTCGCTGCTTTGCACTATAATGAAAATGCAAATAGGGCACATGCTGCAACGTCTGTTGGGGAGCTGAGGTATTCTGTAGTGTACCCAAAATACAAGCGCGGAGACTACACAGTGAGAGCCATGAAAACCAACCCTACTTCATGTATGTCATATTTATTGAAACTAGCATGACGCTTATAAGTATTATGAGGATAAACTTAGATTTTTTTTAGACTACATTGACAAGCTTATGGATCTGCTTTTTGAAAGCGTGGTGGAGGATGCCCGTCCTTATCAGGAATACTCTGACAAAGTACCTGTGCCTGAACCACTCTGTGCCCAGTTTGAAAGACCTGACAAACAGGAGGCTGTAAGCAGGCACAGGTCCAGGTTTGTCAAGAGAACGTAAGGTGAGCAACACAACACATTGACACTCTAACAAAAGTCTGAAGTACAATAATGTATTGCTAATGTTTCAGTTGGTAAAAGAAGCATGCAAGAGACTCGGCTATTATGTTGGCTCTGCGGTTTCGGATGGATGTTGACAAAATCAGCCCTCTGTACCACACATCAACCCTTGTGAAGTTCCACTCGACATTCAAAATTTCCAATAAAACTGGACATTCAATGGAATGTTGGCCAGGTCATTTTACCTGAGTACATACTGTTAAAAATGTTGCATGTGTATCTAATCAAGTTTTATATTTATTTATATATATATGTATATATGTATGTATGTATGTATGTATGTATATTTATATGTGTGTGTGTGTATATATATGCTTCCTTTTGTAAATATTTTATTGTAGGACCTTTATTCTGTTGTACTTGTTCCAAATGTACCTTGTTGTTTATGAAAATGTCACCTCAAAGCTGTTGCTATATAGTAAGTAAATTCCTCTACTGGGCACTCAAACTTTTGTTTAGATATTCTTTTTTTGAGGGTGCAGCCTTCAAAAGCTAAGTAAGCTACATCAATATTGAGAGTAAAAGTGCAGTATAAAAGCATGATTTCAAATCGATACTGAAATAACCAATCACTAAAAGTTACAATTCTTTTCAGATATTTTTTTAATTGACACAATAAATTACAAATAAAACACTTTAATAAAATAAAACTAGTTGAAGTCCAGTGGTGGGAGAAAACCTATATAATTGCCATCTTCAGGGAACTCGCTCCTAATCCTGGTCACCGCGCAGGAGGGGATGATGACCCGTACGTGTTCCCCCAAATACCCCCAGCACCACCGGACAAAATTACGGTAGGCCAGGTGCCTATAACCGCTGAAAGAATGGTGGTGCGTTTTAAAGAAATAATCAATAGATTATAATGTAACTATAAACTAACCTGTTCACCATGGTCTCTGGCATGTCTCCAAACAGTTGCACGTATGTGGCGTACACTGCTTGGAGCACGTACGGATTTAGAGCCACTGGCTCAAATCCAGGGTGCTGGGTTATGCAGGTGGCATGACCCACCTGCTGACATCTGTGCATTACCTATGACAGACGGAAATTGAATTAATAAGTAAGGGCCGAGACTAGTGTAGTCAAGATGTTAGAGCGTGTGTTAAATTACTGTTTCTTTTGTGCACATTACTTGGGGTATAATTTCTCTTCAAAATACCTTCGTGGTTTCCATGCAGCACACGTTTTCCCTTGGGGACAGGGATGTGCAGTGGCCGCAGGTGCACCTATTGTAGCAGAGTTTATAATATAACTATATGGTCCCACAACATATAGTTTATCTTGGTCTGGGTTCATAAATATAATGTACAGACAAAACTGTCTAGCAAAGCAACGCAACATAAGGGGTTACTGTATGGGAATGTGTTAGGCTACATAAATTCCCACTCTTCTCAAAAGGTTCAATTCAGACAGGTTAGCATTTCGTGGTCCGGATCCCTACATGATTGCTCTTCAAGACCTGTAACAAGCAGTGGGTATTTTTTTCCCCCTCTCAAATCTATATGTACCATTCAGAAACAGGCCCCATTCTGTGGTGGTGTGCTGCCTCCGCTGCCTCTGCAGCATCGGCTCCCCCGGTGGCGCTAGCTAGCTCGCGCGCTAGCGGCTCAAATTGATAGGGCTGAGGGCCACTGTCTGCCTCCTCTCTTTCAAACTCCTCTCTCTCAACCTCCGGTGAGGACGGTGGAGAGAAGTCCTCCACCTCCCAAGACCGCACAGAAGCTGTGGAGCTGGCGTCGCTGTGTTCACTCTCCATCATTGACACGGCCAATGCTGATGTCAAGTGTCACTCAAAGCTTAGACCCGCCCAACATTCACCCCCCCCCGCCTGTCCCCTTTAGCCCTCCAGGCTACGCCCATTTGGAGGGAGATTTTGAAAAGGAAGTGTGAGTGACGTAGGCCGTGAGGAGCGGGGGTGAGAACCACTTTAAGTGCGTTTTCTCATCATTTGTTCATTAGTACCTTTGCTGACATTAAACAAACGTATTCTATCACCCTCAAGAAACACAAACCACTGACTATGTACTTTCTGAGCTTGTTTTAACTTAGCTTATCATTAGCTAGCGCTGTGTAGGTGGCTTCTGCATTTTGTCGCTTCCCCAAAGCTAATCTTGCTAATGCTAAGCTAAAATGAAACGCAGGAAAGCCAAGTACATGGGGTTTTGCGGTTCTTGTGTGACGTACATACTATAGTATTTTCCCATGTATATTATTCTATCAGTGCAGCAAGGACCAGATTATTCAATCGGTCAGAAACCCACTGTTCTAGAGACCGAGCATGCTAAGAGGTTGTTGTTAATTATGTTGTTCATTTCTTTTATCTAGACCTCTGATAATTATTCTATCTTTATCTTTACTCTTAAATTTTGACATCTTAGTGAAACAAAGAAGGAATGAAGGGTCGGTTCTTTAGGGAGAAAACAAACTCACGGATTCAATATTAAAGCTACAGAGAGAAATCAGACTGATAGATATGGTTTTAATTGAGTATATATTTGTAAATTCCACTCTGCCTCCTGTTAAAGACTGGGAATGTATTTACATTTACTGTTCATATAAAATATGTTAAATGATTAAATAGTGTGGATGTGTTTGTTTATAAAGACATTCTACTTCTGCTCCTCCTCAGAGCGTCTGTTTCCACTCCTGTGTATTTGTATATATAAATTTGACTGGGACAGTACATGAACATATGGCTGAACATAAGTCGACATGTCTGATTGTAGCAAAAGGCTGTAGTTCCAGGAGAACGGGGTTTGTTTTAATTCATGATTTTTGTGTGAATTTCTTTTCCAGAGGCAGCTGTCTTCCAGAGGTCATCATTCATCCAGCTCCATCACCTCCAGCTTCAGTGGATTAAAATAAACTACAACAACCAGAATGTTCATTTGTTTTATTAATTACAAGTCATGGATAGTTAGAACACATCTCATTTTCTGAAGACATATGCAGCAGTAGCAGTAACAGCAGGTGCCTGGACGTCTGCCTCTGACTGTCTTTTCTATGGTGGACTCATCACAACCTGGAATAAAATAAAATTATTATGATTTAGTTCTTTGTGTTTCATAGCTTTTATTTAAGTACTTCTAATTTTAAATACATTTAAGCCATTAACTCTGACATGATCAGGTCTGTTGGATTTCAAGAGGAAAGGAGCTTGTGCTTAAAAAGTAAGTACTCATGACCTTAAATCTGGTCTGTTCAAGTCCACGGTTCTTCTGTGTCCAGCTTCATGTTCACAGATGTTCACAAATGTCCCCGTCTTCAGTAAATGCACATTATCACATCACACAAATGACTACTACAAAGTGATGCACAAACGAGGACCATACCAAACATATCATCATATTAAAATTACTCTAAAAACAATTGTTGTAACAGAGAAAGTATGGTACAAAAGCCGCCTTCCATTCTGGGCATCAGCGCAGCTCTACACCCGTGGTTAGCGTGTTAGCATTGGAGCTCAAGGGTGGAGAAAAAGTCCAAAGAAAATCTGTTTAATCACCAAACAGACCTCTGATATAACAATAGAAGGGGCTATTTCCCACCTCCAGTGTTAATACAACTAAATGTTATGTCCTAATTAAAACATAAATTCAACTTTTAACTTTACCTTGTCATGGCCGCTCCTCTCTCCGCTCCGTGATCCACGCTACAGCGGGACGCTCACGTACAACAGCACGGCCTGAAACTAGTGTTCAGCGTCCGAATCGCCATCAGAATGAGTCCACTCAGTCACTATAGTCCTGCACTATGTAGTGAGTGAGTGAATACGGTATAGTTTGGCCATTCAGATAAAGCCAAAGTCGTGTTCTGGCCCCGGCTACATCTATGGAGGATTGGCTGATCGATTACTTCTGTCTTGATGTACCCGGAAATAAAGCATGATGATTTTTGGACACTTTTAAAACATTGAAGATTATTTACACTGAATACTTTTTTGTTATAGTTTATATAATTCAAAAGCAAATAGGAGCACAAAATAACCTTCATAGTTGCAACAAAAAAAGAGTTAAGACAAACTCACAAAGAAACAGTTTATGATGGAAATGATGCTGAAGCTCAGGGACAGCTATTCTCTTTTATAAAAAGATATATGCAATTATAATATTTTTCACAAATAACACATTTAAATTCGGCATTTTCAATGTAATATGTGAAAAAAAGTTTTTACTACCTGCCAGTTCACTGTCAGTTAGAACGCTTTAGCACCAGCTCGGCCTGGATAGAACCAGGTCCAAGTGGGACTAAAGGAGGACCTGGTTCCACAGGACCAGTGGGAGGAGAGGTGGGTTCACTTTTCTCTCTTCAGATTCATTTTATTCGCCATTTGCAGTAACACTACATTGGAATACATTAGTAAAAGTTCCCAGTGTGCACAGGACAAGTACAGACATAAAACAACATTAAAAGACAAAAATTAAAAACAGTAAACAAATGTCACTGTGAAGTTGACCAACTAAAACAGATCTGTACAAGTGCAAATCATTAAAGTGCTCTATTCAAACTGATAACAGCTCGTGGAAAAAAAACTATTAGCATAACGAGATGTCCTGCATCTCAGAGAACAATATCTTCTGCCAGAGGGAAGAAGCTGGAACATGGCTTTCCCAGGGTGGCCAGAAGAGTCATTGATAATTCTCAGGGCACTGTTTAAAAGTCTGGATTTATAAAGAGCCTCCAGAACAGGAAGCTCACAGCCCACGGTCCTCTTTGCAGAGCGGAGCACCTTGTTTAAAGCTCTCTTTTCTTTATCTGTGATGTTTCCAAACCACACAGACACAGAACCAACAAGTAAACTCTCAGTGGTGCAGCCATAAAAGTTAAGCACAATCTTAGAGTTAGTGGTAAATTCTCTAAGTTTCCGCAGGAAGTAGAGACGCTGACGAGCTTTCTTAACGACCCGGTCAGTGTTTTTAACCCATTTCAGGTTAGACAGAGTTAGACCCAGAAACTTGCACTCCTCTACGATCTGCACCTGGGAGTTGTCGATTACGACAGGCAAATGAGAACTATTG